GAATGTGATGTCAGTTATCTTGCGAGAGGACTGGTGATGACAGAACATGAAGCCGGATTTTATCAAGATACTTGTCAAAGAGAGTTGGATAAGAGAACTGAGATGCAAAGAGCTAGTGACTTGTTGAAACTTTACGACAAGGGAATGCAAATGGAAAATGTTGAGCCAGAAACTAAGAAACATAAGACTTGATATAAAGATTACTGTGCCCTTGAAAAGTAGTAGGATTTTTTTCAAATGTAGATTCCAGTTATGTTTACCAATCAAATTATATCAGGTTTTGGTACTACCCCTCCCCAATTTTTGATTTTTTGATGGATCAAAAATGATGTTAGATTGATTCTGCCAGTCTGTCAGCTCACTCTTTTTTCTGTCAGGTCGCTCTTTTTTTTGCTCCCGGACAGACACTAGTTTGAGCGACAAACCAAAAAATCAAGGAGCGAATACTACTGGAATCAGTCTACCATGATGTATATTCAATCAGTTTTTTTTTTATCATATTCTAATATATCAATAAACAATATTCATTTTTATTCCTTGAAAAATAATGCTTGAATTGGATCAAAATGTGCAGAAAAAAGCAAAGAAAAGCTAAAAGTAAAACCATAAAAAATAATTAAATCCGTTCTCTAGGACTTTCTCAGATTGACTTTTAMATGTTTTTAACAAAAGAAACAGAAATTTTATCGGAAATTTTATCAACAAATCATCGGAAGACTGTCATTTACAAAAATTCGAAAGCATTTGTGGGACAACCGCGAGCGTTTGATCCCCGCTCTTTYTTCTGATTGGATAATCACACGCTCGCRCTTGATTTGTCGGAACTATGAATAGAKRRGGGARGGCATRTACCCTTTGAAAGGRCTCTCAGGKTTGCAGTGGAGAGTGCAAGGGAGTGAAAGCACTATTGAAAACATAATATTTACAAACAAAGATAACATGACTTTCAAATAAAAGTTTGTTTTTTATTATTATCAATCACAACAAACTAGAAAGGAGTCATCATCAACTCATAAAATATTATATATATGTACATCAGCAATGCTTTAATATCCATCAACGCCCAGTTCAGTGGCTCTTAATGTAGCTGTATTGATACCTTCAAAGTCCATTGGTTCTGGGGGATATTGCTTTTTTCTCTTTTTTTCCAAACTGAGCAAAGAGTTAAGAAAATAATACAATATAACATCATAATACTTGGTTATTTGACCATTTGTATCTGTCCTCAGATATGGAGATCAGAAGATAATAGGGGCATAACCAGGACTCGAAATAATGGCCAGACATATGCAGGACAAGATGTCCTTTCAAATTCATTTTTTGGAAGATCATGTCAAGTTTTCAAAGGACAAAAACTTTATTATACTATTATTTTCTTTTAATTTAGAGGTTTTTGTATTCAGAAAGATCGGCAAGCATTTTAATGGCTTGTAAAAKATTTATTTAGTGAACTGAGAATTATATTGTCTAAAAATGTGTCAGGTCAATTTGTCCTTTCAAAACCCGATTTGGCCAGTCATCTAGCGAATTTGGAAGGACATTGTCCTTTGACCAGCTGTTATTTTGGGCCCTGATAACATAGGCACATTGTAGCCCATCAGAATTTGCATTCTATTTCACACATAGTAAAGGATACTACTCATCACATCTTTCTCTTATTAAAGCCATGTGCTCATTCCTCTTTTTCCTATTTTCTTCTGGATCATCCATGAGGTAATCCACTATCAATTTGGTGATCCAATGCTGAATAATCAAACAGAAGCACATGTC